TTCATTTGTTATATAGTCATATATAAGAAATAAAATAATCAAATTTTTTTATTAATTTCAATAAATTGTAATACAAAAAAAGATGCGCTCGCTTTCCTCTTATGAAGTGTTCAAAATAGAATAAAGCAGATTGAAATACCATGGGTGACGTTGTTTTCAGCTTTATCACATTTTTTACATAAATCTTTGTCTAGAGATTTTCCACTTCGCGTGATTCATTGACTGTGCTAATTGCCCGGGACCAACTCGAGTTTAATCGGACGGAATCAGCGGAGAACGGTATGTGCGTATTATTCTCGCTCTCCTCTCAGAACAAGCTTATCGCCTCGAGTGACCGAATTCTTTTCGGTAGCGACTACTTCATGGGAGTTGATTGCCAACAGCATACATATTATTTTTTTTATGAACAATTCTACGGACATTTTTTTCTTGAGATTAATTAATGACCGTCAAAACTACTCGAGAGTTCAATAAAGTGTGCATGCCTTTATAGAGGATTTTAATGGCAAAAAGGAAGGGGGAATAGGCACTTTATATTTTTGATCACTGCATATATGCGTTATTATTTAAAAATTTCTTTTCTTTAACCACCTTTTAGATTTTATAACTTTTGAGTATTATATAAACAAGGAGAATTAACAAAATGTAAATATTTTAAACAAAAACATATATTTAATAAATATTATATAACATATATTATATAATAAATATTATAAAACATATATTTAAACAAAAAAATAATATATATATTTATATATATATATATATATATATATATACTCGCACACATATTAGTTATTTATATATTTTATATCAATTCAGTGAAATGGTACTCAAAATATTAATACAATGAATATAAAATACTTTTTACGTAAAAAATTTGTATTTATAACGAATAATCTTGTGTAAATTATTAATACATTTTTAAATGCTTTTTGGATATTAATTCATAAAACAGGAAAATTAACATTATTTGAATGATTATTTAAAAAATAGAAGGGAATATATTAACTTCAATTGCATGTAAGTTAATAATTTTAAATACTTGAAATAAATAATTTTAAATAAATAAATACTTGAAAAAATATATTATTTCTAAAATATATATTTAGTTAGAAACACAATTTTATTATGTATTTGTACAGTGTAATCTTTGAGTTTTATAATAAGTTTTACCGGCAGTAAAATTTGTGCATTGAATCTGTTTATTGTGAAAGAACTGTGATTTTATAACATAATATTTATCAAGGAATGCTGTAAATATTTATAGAAATTTTTAAAACAAGCTTCTTTAAAACATACATTTGTTTTTCAAAAAATTACAATTTCCTTAACTACAAAATTTTGTTCTTAATATAAATATTTAATGAATTAACATCTTAAAGACTTATGATAGTATTATTTCAATTTTTTATGCAGTATTATAATATATTTTAGCGTGTATTGAAACTAAATTTTTAATCATTGATTATTCAATTGATATTCACTAGTTACACAGTAACTATATTTTTGCTAATCTACCTATAAAAAAAATAATATAAATAAAAATATGAAACCAGAGCCCCAATGTTAATTAAATTCCATATAAATCAAAAATAGAATTATGACAATAAAAATGAACTACTGGATGTATTAGCAGAATAAAATTAGCAATACATTCAAAATATATGTTGATGCGACTAAAAATTAATTTTTAATTTATATTAGTTATACACAAAATTATTATCTATAAAGAATTTAGTATAGGTTCAACAAAACGTATTGCTTTTTAAACATTTTGTTCTTAATAAAAATCATATCAATTTCGATTACTGAAGTGTATAATCATATAGATTTAATTTGAATAATTAAACGATAATACTTTAATTTCTGATATTAATTATTAGATACATCATTAAAAAAAATAGATAACTTATTTATATATATATATATGTATAGCTCGATTATATTTTATAATAAAATTAATTAAAATCTGTTCCTATTGTTCATAATAAGGTAAAAACTATTTAACTTTGCATAAAACAACAAATAATAAAAATTTATTTATTTGTTTTATTTTACAAAGATTGCATTAGTTTAATCATATATAAATTCTAAACTAAATCACCGAACTTATTATGTTACTAAACAATAATGAACATTACTAAAAAATAATGAATTCACGTTTTTGTCGAAACAACGCATTCACAGAACTCTTCTTTATAAAATGTAGTGCTTTAATGTACAGTTATTATTATAAGTTTGCAGATTTAAATTGAAATTTGAACAGATTTAAAAATTAATACTAAAGGAAATCTCTTAAGTGAACTTGAAAAACTATTCAGATATAGGTTCATTTATTATATTATAATTATATCTTCATGTTTGATAACGATTAAAATGTACATAAACGTAAAATCTATAACAAGCGCCTAGTTTTAACGATAGAAGTACTTATAATATATAAATTTTTCTTTTCAATTAAAGTGTATTGTTTATTGCTTACAGAATAATCTAAAATGTTGTATAAAAGACGAGTAGGACAAATACAAACTGATATTGAATTCGCACAAAAATATAGTATTGAGATACGTCAAATTGACAAGTCAAATAATTTTGCGACAAATTGAAGTACAGGAATAAAAATTTCAATTTAGCTGCAAACAAATACTTCGGAGAACTTAATCATTTTCATGAATTATACTTGAAAACGCAAACAGCAGAATAAATTGTGCGGCCTACAATAACTGCGATTTATTCTATGTACGCTCGAAGTTACAAGTGCAGTCAAAAGTCTTGATCGTGCGCATACAAGAGTGTGTCCTTCTCTCCCGCGGTTGCGCCGGATTGTACGATATAAGGCGTTTTCATGCTTCCTACAACGGGAGAAACTACAACGGGTCTTCTATGAGATGCTTCGGCGACACGGGCGAATAGGAGAGAAGAAAAATAAGTCGAGAGGGAGAAAGGTGCAGACCCCGGGGTCCCATAAATTCTGGAAAATTTGTCAAGAGGGCCCCCACTTTCGGTCAAATTTAAAGTAAAACGTAGTTAATGGCATTGATCGGCGGAGCGGACCGGTGCGACAATGGCACACTTGTATCGTAAAGGAACCCAGCGGGTACCGCTCCTTGGAGCAGACTCCTCGACGCTGCCAAGGTATGCACAATGTTCAGGGAGAATTTCATTGAAAGCAAGTTCGGCGAAAATGATTCGAGGAGCCATTTGCTACGACGTTTAAAGGACGTTTAGCGCGACCGAGGTCTTTGTGTCTCGGTTTTTCCGTACCAGGAATGGAAAAGTGGGCGTCACGCGCGTGTGTGACTGCTGTCATTACCAGCAGCGTATGTGGCCAAGGGCGGTGGAGATGGAGGAGGAGGAAAAGATTTTCGAGGCGACGCGCAGTCTGGCATGTCATGAATGAAGCTACTTTACTCATTCATCCCCGGTGGATATTGAAATTTTTGAAGATCTACCGTGATTTAAAATGAATTCCAATGCGTCTTCTTTTTTCCAAACTGAAATCGATACATAGAGAAGTAGATAAATAAATATAGAGAGTATGTGTGTGTGATAGGCGTGGGAGAAAGAGAGAGAGAGAGTGAGAGAGATTGATATTGTAAATATTTACTTCATATGTGAGTTATTTTGAATGCTGGCCAGAACTGTTTATATCGAGGAATCAGGGCGCTTGCCATACTTTAGGCGCGTATGAGATTAGAAAGCGAAAGCTTAGTGGATTGTAACAATTGTTTGACAATCACGTGTTTCCGATTCTCCTAACAGCAGATTTATATAATGTTATTTATGGATTATTTTAATGATAATATCATAATTCTCTTTTCGAATTTTAATTTTTATTATTCACTTCATGCATTTGTGGTAATAATGTATTGTTATAAATTAATTATATTTTGTTAATTATTATTTAACTTTCATGTAAAAAATTACATTTATCTCAATTTTACTATATATATTTTTTTATCATACATACACATATATATATATATATATGTATATATATATTTGATTATGAATATATTTCTTAAATATTTTTTTGTATTAAGATCAAATGGTTATTGATAAAGATTTATAATATTTTTGCATGATTTTTATCTTTATAGAATCTGTTTTATCATAACATGCATAGTATTTTTATTTTCCATAATTAGTACAGAATCAATCATTAATAAATACTTTATCTGGTTTTAAATTATAATAAATACACAGTGTATACAAATTTATTTACGAATAAATAGTATTTAGTATCGAAGTTTTTATATGTAATATATATTTATGCATACTATAATATATACGTATGAGTATAGAGCATTTTAATAAGATCATTATATTTGCTTATAATACTTAAAATAAATTAGCGTTTTCAAACGTATGTAATATAGTGAATAAATCGAATAGGTGATAGGAATGGAATGAACAAGATATGTGTCTATTTTAAAATATGTTATTAATTTAAAATCACTTCAATTGTTTGAATATCCTTTGGAAAAAGATAATACATTATTTTATATATAATAAACTATGTATAATATTTACAATAAAATTTGGCAGCCTCACAATCTCTTGGTATTATCTATACATATTTACAAAGTAACAATAAAAATGGTTAACAAAGCTCTAATATAATAATTATATCTTTATCGCTGATTTACATTCTTTTTATATTGATATAAACGTAACTTATTGTAATAGTATTAATTAGAAAAATGGAACTTACAAGCTATAAGGGAACTTGTAAGAATGTCAGTGTAGCATAACATTTATGACTCGCATAAGATTCTATGTCTCAATGTAATAAGCTGTAACGATATTTCATTGGTTTCATTGGTTCCATATAATCTCTAAAAAAAATCCTGTTTGCAAAGAAACTGCCCAGTAAATGGCGTAATTAAAGTAGGAAGCCATTAATACTAAATTGAAGATTAGGCTTATTTAGCACACGAGATCCCCGGCGAAGTCGCGACCAAACTACAGCGAGAGTCGCGAGTCCCTCAAGATATTCAAGAATTGACGATATGCTCGACGGTGTACTTGGTACAGGTAAGAGTCCTCAATCCGCTGATAATAGGTGGGCTCTCGAACTTCAATCTCTTATTTTCGCATTGGCTCTGCTCTTCGTTAATCCTTTTACAAGGTCGGGAGAGATCGTGAGGTGCTAGATTCTTGTCGTAATCTTCGTAAGGCTGCCGCCAAATGAGGGGTTTGATATCGGACGTCTTGTCCTCGATCGGAATTTCCTCTTGATCGCTTTCCTCGCACTTGGCGTCTTCTTCCTTACGCTTGCCGCAAGTCCTCAAACAACAGCACTTTGTGGGAGCTGCAGGTCCGTCCTCCTTCTTGTACTTCACTCGTCTATTCTGGAACCAAATCTTCACTTGTTTCTCCGAGAGACGTAAACTCGTCGCAATCTCGATGCGACGTAGCCGTGATAAATACATATTGCTTGCAAACTCGCGTTCTAGCTCCAGCAACTGGGTGCTCGTGAACGCGGTGCGAATGCGTTTGGAGCTACCGGTAATACCCCCAAGGATGGAGTCGTTTGGCGACTGCGGCGGTGGCGTCGGACTACTGCTGTTACGTGATGGTGAGTCAGCCTTCATGAATGAACTTTCTGTGACATTTGACAATTTTTAGTGAGCTTTAACTAACTTCTTTCTTCTCAAAAATAATTTTAGCGTATAAGCATAAAAATGGGCAATAGCGCTCAATTCGTCATAAAATTTTTGTAAGAATTAGAATTGACGAATTATGCGACATTTGACATAAAAATCATCAAATTATCCTTTTTCTGTATAATATAATGATTTTTTAGACAAAGTAGTTGAGTAATATTGAGTGATCCGACCATTTTGCTAAGATCGGAGCTGATTCGTTCGATTATTTATATTACTTCATTCGATCAATTCTAATTTGACGCTATCAATCATGCGCGTTAATTAAAATTTAGTTGAGTGCAGAAGTTGCCCTTACTTGATATATGATTGGCTGAATTCCCAATAGGTAAGGGTGGACTTTGTGTAGGTATCGATGCTCCCGTAACGACGTTAGAATTTTGAATTGGCGAGCCGAGTTGCGCCTGGTTGACGTTAGCGAGCATTGGTGGAGGTTGTCTAGGTACTGGCCTCGCAAGCTGTTGTTGATATTGCTGCTGTTGCTGTTGCTGTTGCTGTTGGTAGGCCCCAAGTCCGAAGTTGAAGAGATTGAACATGTAGTTGGGCAACTGGCCATTGTAATAAGGTATCGGATATGTCGGTGGTGTGTTGTTGCCGATAAGAGAATCTACCAGGAAGTTGCGTGACATCTCGACTGGAGGTTGGAATCTAATTGTGTTTGAACACTCAGCGCGGCACTGGACTACACATCCAAACTCAAACGTAGCAGTATTGAAAACTAACACGCATAAATAAACGACGCGACACACTCAGCTGCTAGCCGAGATATGAAGTGTCCCTTGACCGCTTCATACCTATATACGAGCTTGACTCCACCCTACAACCGAGGGTTGGTTTTTCAGCTGTAGAATCCTCTTTTGTGCGGAGCTCCGCCTCCTCTCTCTCTCGCTTTCTCTCTCTCGCTTATTCTTACTCTCTCTCTCCCCCTCTCTCACACACTGTATCTCTCCCTCGCTTTCTCTCTCCCTAGCTCTCATTCTCGTTCACGTTCTCTTGATCTCTCTCACTCACTTTTTCTCTTTTTCTTTTTCAGCACCCAGAACCCTATATTTCAGAACCCGAGGGGAACGCAAATTCCCCCTCCCCGACTAGAGGATGTTTTCTCTAATGCGTTAATTCGACGGGAGGCAGTCAACGGCTCTCCCCAGCACTCAATGGAAATTAATATTTTCTGAGGGAGTTAGGAGAGTATGTAATTAGAAATGCAACTGTGATAAAACGAGCTTTTTAGTTGCTTGATCGAAGAGTATTATCGGTGCCATCGCTACTTTCGTACTTCCTTGAATACACCGAGCACCCAGACTTCTAATATGATCCATGAATTCAAATAAATTTATGCATTTTTATTCTTATTCGCTGCAAAATTCGGACACAATATGTAAGCTGTATATATATATATATATATTATCAATTCGTTTTTTCAATTTTTCGATAATCAAAAACCATTTTATTGGGAATTTTATATCGCACTAAGATACCGAATTCTTGTCTTGTACTTACACGTAAAATAAAAATTTAATCGATTGAATTTATGTATGAATAAAATATTGTACTTTCATTAAATCAAATATACTATGTGTTAAAGTATACATAAAGATTCAGCTAGAAAATGTTATTAAATGTATTATACACAACATTATTCACATCTTTTTCTTCCCATATATTCTTATTGCACAAAGCTTACACAGATTTCAAATTAGCAGTAAACAGTGATATTATCTACTTTTAACGTCAACGGCTTTTATATGTATCTATAATGGCTTAATTCTGCTTTTATTCAAATTTGATATTACATAAATTCATTTGAATCTTTCTGTATATTTACCTTCATAATCATATTATCTTTATATATAATTTTATATATTAATTTTATATTTTTATAAATGTACTATTATCAGTGAATTTAATTAGAATTGAATCATTTATTATGATTAATAAATTCAAAAATTATTTTTTTCTTAAATTTTATAAAGAAATTAAAGTAATAAATTTAATAAATTTAATAAATTAAAAGTTAAAATAGTAGTTTAAACGCTTTTTTAAAAATATTTCCAAAATATTTTATGAATCATCACTTAGAAATACTTAAACAAGAATGTTTGAATAAGAAATAATTCTTAATACAACTATAAGCAATTAAACAATTATTATATACCGTAGAACGATAATATTTGACATAGAAAAAGGCCGACATGCATGATTTCTATAAATTTTAAGTGAATATTAGAGAAATATAAATATTCGAAAGGAATTATTTATTTAAGAATTGTAAGATACCTTTGAACAAGTTTATCTAAGGGAAGTGGGTCACGGACCATAATGAAGAATTTTTTGCCTGTTCAACTACCACTGCCTGTACTTATCGACAACTTTATATTGAAATAAAATTTAGTTAAACTCTATAATATTTAGTAATAAATTACTATTAAATATATTACGTAAAATATAACGGTGTAGCTTATAGTATAGACGTCAGTAACTCATTTGTATATCTTATGACACGTCCATTATTTTTATAGTAATTTTCCTGTGTAAATTATTAGTTACTTTTAATGAAAACGAAGTATTTAAAATCCTAAGATAGGCTCAGAATATCGTAACATTCGGCCGAAGAATAATTTATAAAAGCGAACTCATTCATGTAGTATTACTACACCTACATTGTAATAAAGATAGCAGTTAGTTTAATGATGCGTAACCGAATTTAATTTATTAATGATTAATAAATAAAATATTAAACATTGACCAACTGTTAGTATAATTCCAATTTCCGCAAAATAATTTGATAATAATAATGAGTTTAATTACTTGATGAACATTAATTATAGCCTGAATAAATTTAATTGTACTCTGTAAAACTTGTGAATAGCGTTCATGTAACTAAAACATGAATGCGATGGTATTTTGTAATATATTTATATTAAATCGAATATTAAATAAGAAATAACTATTATATTATTTAATTTTTATGTTGAAAATTATGTTGCCATTTAAATAGTTAAGCCTTAAAATTTTTAAGTTTTGTTAGTTTGTAATTTCAACCTTTCATGAATTTTTCAAGGATTTTATTTTTAATAATACAGATATATCATAAATAATGAAGCAACATAATGAAAATAACAATTTTAAATCAAATATCTAATTGAATATCTACTTCGCAATCCAAAGATGCATTTTGTATTTTTTTTGTTATTAACTCAATAAAAAATTTAAGATTTAAATTAAACAACTTATAAGAATTAATTGATAAATATTCTTTATGAAAAACTTGGTTCTGTAACAAAACATCTAGTTGCAAATATGAGCACTAACATATAAACTAGAATTTAAGATTTGGTAATCAAAGCTCATTTAGTTTAATAGAAAATGCCCGTTTTAATTTAGTAAATCTTACAGTTTCGCATATATCAGTCACTAAAACTTGAATTACGTATAATTATTAACTCGAACATTATTTTAAAAAATTCACCAGATTAAATAAAAATATTTTCTACACAACTTACAAAAATGAGTTGTAAAAATTAATATAAGCTTAAAATATAACAATATAAATCTACATTCAATTAAAAAATAAATACTACATGTGTTAGATGTTAGCAGGATTGAAATATAATTTAAAGAATTTTACTCAATTAAATATGTAAATTTAGGTACTTTTACAATATTCCATTTTTTAATGAGTATTACTTAAATCGGTAGTTTAGTAAAGGAATTAGTCAAATAAGGTCAGAAAATAGTTCGATACGTCGTCTTTATATACTGAGAAAAGTTTAATAGGACTTTGTTTCTTTTTGATTGATTTTTCTTTCCTGAGCTAATTGGTACTATGTAATAGTTTTTATAAATTCTATTTTAGAAAAATTTTAAAATTATATTGTCGCAATATTTTTGAAAACATGTAAAATTTTGATTACACATTTAATTAAAGATAATTTATTTATTTTGAAAAAACATACTTGATTTATAACTTTTTAAATAGACATTTATTATTCTTAACCTAATATAAATAAATAAAAACCACTATGAGCAATGAACGTCAGCGTAATAAAAGTATTATAGATTTAAACTATAATTAACTTTTTATTTTAGGAAGATTACAACGTTATTAAATTTTAGACATTTGTTTTAGTTTTTTCTTGATATTTTTATTTTATATTTTTAATTTTTTTTTCATTTTGAGTTTATGTCGATAAAATAAAAAAACAGTTAAAAAACTAGATATGATATGAAAGTACATTTCCCATATGAATAATAGTAATAATTTATACTGAAATGACATAAAAAGAATCTACTTATAAACAAAATCAGAGCAAATGATGCATTGATCAATCGAATAAGTGTTTATAATAAGACCACATTTTAAAATCTAACATTTAATAAACAAAATTTGTCATAAAAGCAATCCTATAAAAATGAACTAGCAAAGATAACTGAAAAATTTCCACTATTTTTATAATGCATTTTAGGTCAAAAGTAATCGCTTGTTTCGAACTTAAAGACTGATTTCTTTATAAAAATCAAATTAGATTGGGAAATTAAAAAGAAAATTTATCGAGTTTAAGGAATTTATGAATTTTTGTAGTGTAAATAATACTTTCATTCAGGAATTTGTATCATTCGCAATTGTCGGCCTACATAGTTCTCTGAATTTTTATTACATGGGTGATTTTTACACGGCTTTTCATAAGTAAATAAATCAATAAATGTTATAAATAAGAAACTTCGTCTTATTTCTATTTAAATTCGTACTTTGAAGAGGTTTTAAAATATAATCAAAATTAAGAGGAATAGCATCATAAATTAATCCTTATCAAAATAAAAAATTTATAAATATAATTTATAGGATGTATTAATATAACATATTAGAAACTGAAGCATAGATGTTTATATACAGATTTAAATATTATTTAATTATTAAAGTGAATAAATATTAAGTACATATTAAATTATTTATCATAATAACATATATAATTTGTATATAATGTATCCCTTAGAAAATATCAGAATATCTGAATAAAAATAATTTCATAATTTTCATCGAATTCTGTTTATGAATGTTAAATGTTCAAGATAAATAAATAGTAGTTTATCAATATTTTAGAATTAACTATTCATATTTTACTGTAATAAATTACCAAGTTACTGATAAATTACAACTTGAAAAATGTTATTTCATATAGAAATAATTTCTTATAGAATCTAATTTCATATAGAAAACCATATAGAAATCCTTATTAAAAATTTTTTCTTGTACATAAAATATTCTAAATAAATTTTATAAAAATAATATAAAAATATTTAAATAAATAAGCTTTCAATTAATGCTTTTTATAAAAGGAAGAGAATATGATGCATATATTTTTTTTAAAATTACGAAGTCTATGAAGAAAATCTTAATACAGTTTTTATTATGTAATACAATCATAATTAAAAAATATTCCTCTATATAAAAAAATTAATAAAATATATTCTTGAATACTGTAGATTTATATCAAATTAAAGAATTTACATACTTTATTTGTAAAGATAAAATTTTTTAAAATAAATATTGTAAGAAAATTTTATTATTTTATAATATAATCATAGAAACATATTTCATTATTGTAAAAATTTGTAATATTAACAAATT